CCAACAACGACGGAAATCATCTTAGCAGTAATAACATAGCCCGAACTGATGTTGAAAACCTTATCAACGAAGTCACTAACACAGGTGTCAGTGATGAAATACCCAATGTGAACATATCTGACAATAATAACTGTGAAACCGTCCACTCCAATGCCGAAGACCCTGTACTCACCATTAAAATTTCGGAACAACTCTTGAATAATTTTGATCACCGACTCCATATTGATCTCGTGTTCTATTCACCAGCAGAAACAAGTTTCCAAGTGAGTCCAACGCCAACTAAGCCATTCGAAACTGTTTTTATGGACACATTTCAAGTAAAAAATCAAAAATTCTTGACTATTGTTGACGCTTTCTCCAAATATGGACAAGCGTACCCCCTTCTCAACCTTAGCGCTGTTGAAGTTGCTAATAACTTACTCACTTATATCAATCATCATGTTGTTCCTGAAACTCAGATAACCTAACTGAGAAATGGACACAACATAAAATTACATTATGTCACCTCCGATCATCCTGAATCTAAGGGAATCGTTGAACGATTGCATTCGACGATTATTGAACATTTGAGGATTCTTCAAACTATCCACAAAGAGCTTAAACAAATGCCTTATGCAATCATGGGATATAACCATTTAATACATTCAGCAACAGAAATGAAACCCTTTGATGTCATAACTGAACATATTTCCACCTCAGAACCTTCCAATATCAATATTGAATATCGCGTACAAAGCGCCTACATAGCAACTCATGAAAACAAGACTTCCGGGATGTATAGGCAATCTATAGACAACAACAATGAAACACTCAACAAATCGAAACAAAAAGTAATTGAAAAACGGAATGCAAACCGCGAACCCCCTCTCACTAACAAAGAAAAACACCGGCATACAAACACACTGAGCCACGTAACAAATTAGTTCCAAAAGAGTAACAGTATTGAAAGACCAAAAGACAAAATTGAAATTACCTAAAAAATACCTTACACAAATCAAGTTTCAAAAGACCATTATTTCAGGTTCGTCCTATCGTTGACGATGAGCCAGGAAGTTGAAATACAGTCACTAAATAAAAATCCAG